CCAAAACATATAATTTTTAATATGTGAGGACAATCTCCTTGCTTTCATCTGTGTATATACTGTAATGATATATTTCTGTTAAAAACATACAGTATATGTAGACCCATAGATATAGTAATTGATAGTTTCCTATATATGGCCTCTTGGAATAATTTTATAAAAAGACAATCAAAAAGGACAATCAAATAGAAATGGGCATCTACAAGATGGACTGGCCTTTCCATGGTCTTTTGGGGTTTAACTTAAAATACCTGTGCTAAAATAAAAATGTCTTCATGAACAGACCCTTCAGGAAACAGGTAAGCCTCCGCAGTCATTTTTCCCCCTCAGGGACTTTTCTCGTCCCCTTTTTGGGGTGGGAGAGGGGACAGGGATTGATAGAATCCCAAATTACAAACACTATTTTTTGACTACAAAAAAGGAACTGTGATTTAATGACCCCAATGTGCATGCTTCCAAATGATCACCATGAAAACTATAATTTAAAATCAAATCAACAAAAAACCAAAAACACAACAAAATCACATATATCACAGGAAGGGCAAGTCGCGGGGATACCCTTGCAGCCCCCTGGGAAAGCGTCGTATGTCGCTGTATTAAAATAGCCTTTGGGTCCCCAGAACTTTCTAGATATGCCCCTGCTCAAGTATGGCAGGAAGATTCATCTCAGAAGAAGAAAAAGCTAATTTGCAAGCGACTCTGAGGAGCCCTGTATCATGTTGTCAGAGTTTCAAGGACCACACACACAGCTGTAGCCAGAAACAAAGCCAGTTACGCTCTTATCCACTGCGCTGTTACCTGACGCAGATTCCTGGTGACTTTCACATCATGCCAGGCATTATCATTAAACTTTCCATTCACGGGCTCCACTAGTGCTTCAAAGGCCCCTGATCCCAAATTAATGACCAGAGAGACAGCTCCATTTTTCAGGGCAAGATTGACATAATCAGCTGATTTCCCCGTGTGAAGCATCAGTCCATTCCTCTGAAGGGTTTTAAAGGACAGAGTTATTTCATCACTGCTGCTTTGAATGGGGTTTTGAGACAAGTCGTAGCAGAAGTATTCAGATCCCTTGAAAGTTGCAATATATTCTTCTTTTCCTAGAGGAAAACAGATAGATACACACATAAGTAAAGACAGACCCTGGAAATCCACGCATCTTAACAGAAACAATAACTTTTTTGCCTAATTAACAAATAAACTCTTTGCCTAGTTAACATTCATGACAAGAGCCCTGTCAAAGAGTCAAACGGTACTGTAGGTGGCAGTGTATTTTTAATAAACCTCAGCTCCTGCACCATCAACTATAGTAGCTGAAGCTGACATTCTTGAAAATTCAATTAATTTTTAAGTATCACTGCAAGAGCTCTGATCAGAGAAAGTAGCTCTGTGACGTCTCCAGGGCATGAATCAGGTATCATAAATCGCAGATTGGACGGTTCCACTCTGCTGGCAACGATGGATTCCAACACGTTTGCAACATTCTTTCCATCCAACTGAGGCATTATTTTAATTTTCAGTGAAACATTGGTATTCAAAGATCTTTCTCAATGAACGGCTACATATTTTCATCACTGAGAGACCATAACAATTTATCCAGTGAGGGGAAAGGAAAGGAAAAACAGAATCTGGTCTGGGAGTAAACAGAGCTCCCATAGAGTATATGCACTTTTTCCCCCTGGATGGAGGGCGTAGGGATAGAAAGACTAATTGAGTCAGCTGGATTATTGATTCATTACCTGGTCTCATCAAGCAGATGGTAAGGCTGGCTTTTATGAGATAGGTAAGAATTTCAGCACATCATCACGGGGATAGAATGTAAATGAAGTCTTAACACTTTCCATCTAGCTCAGTCTTTACCATATTTAGGAGTAACAATGTGGATCCCACAAGATGCTGGACTGATCCAACAGAAACTTGGCTATTTGGAGAAGCATTCTTCTCCCACCGAGGAAGTGAGTTTAACCAAAGGAGGAGTAAAATCCAAAAACTCCTGTGAATTCCTAGGGATGCTGTGCCAAGGAAAATGAGACAGCATCTGATAAATTATAAACAAAGAATTGTAAGTGGTACTGGAGAAACTTGATCTGCTTCACTGGTTATGTCGTCTCACTATTATTCCCACCGGAGGGTTCATATACCAGCAGGCTTCACACTTTCTCCCTCTATTAGTTTTTAATTCAAGACTATTTTCATTTGATTGTCAAATAATTCATATCCTGGAATCAGAGCTGAAGTCAAAGTTTCAACTCATCAGTGCCAGATGACCTGACTCCCTGGATGCAGAAAATGCCACAAGCCTCTATAGGGAGTCGTCAAGCCACAGCATTTAGTAAGACAGTGAGCACCTAGGGACTGAGCCCTGGAATAAAAGTCACTGACTCCAAGTAAATGATTAGTGAAGACCAGCAGTCAGACCAAATCAACCGTGCTGTGAGTAAAAGACAGAGTCGGGGTAAGAAGTCCATACCAGTGGTTCCTTCCCACTCAAAAAATGCAAAATATTGGCTAAGCCTTCACTTCCTTAGGGGTCCACCCAGTGTCAGTTTGTAGGAACAGTGAAATAAACAAGCTGACCTAATTACAGTCCAGGTGTCTGTTTTCCTGGTCAGTTCACTACAGCAAGTACTTCAAAACTTGATACCAAAAAAACCCTAACAATCAGTGTTATTTTGGGAGGAAAAAAAAGTGTGGACCAAAATATGAGTTGACATCATAGCTTAGTCACTAGCTAACTGTCACTAAGGCAACTGCATACCTCTTTAAATCTCTGTTTCCAAAGTACTTAGTGATACTAATCTTTCAGGATGGGTATGAGGATAAAGTGAGATGAAGTCAGAGTAAGCATGTGGTAAGTTGTCGAATCAGTGAGAAATGGTAGATGTCTACCTCCTGTCGACCTACGGTGATGAATGTGATAAATGGTCTAAAACAAACAACATATGCCATATTTAATTGTGAAATATAGAATAGCCTTTTTAAGATAAGAAAGGTGACAGGGATTCCCATCATCAATATTCCCATTCTATACTGTGCTTCAAATTGTGGCTGATGTAGAAAGACACAAAAAATCCATGAACATTATTAAGATTATAAGGGAAGAAAATCTCACAGTAGCAAATATGATTGTGTGGTAGACACCTGTGAGAAACACCTTGGTAATAAAGGATTGGAGAAAGGATTTAACATCATTGGTTCTCATTAGTAAGATGCACGAAAGTATGTACCACATTGCTTAGCAGTCTCCAGCTGCAGGAGAAGTTAGCCGAGGCTCCTCCTTTGGCTCTGCTTCTTGTTCAGAGGATACCTGATCAGCTCCCCTGCTAAGACTGCTGCTGAGATTGCTACCCAGATGCTCACTCCTATTAATACTGACTTATGACTTCTAAGGTGCTTTGGCCTGAGACCTGAGCGAGACCTACCCCAAGTAAGCTGGTGCTACAGCCTGCATCCGGACAGTTGAGTGGACTGGGACCTGAAGACCTAGTGTCCCCACTCCAACAGGGTCCTGGGTCAGGCTGGAGTCACAGTGTTGTGGCCCTGACATGATTTTATAAATTAAAAGACTGAAATCTCAAAAATTACTTGGCTTAATAAGATATTTTAGAAAGACGGCAGGGTTCTATTTACTAGGGACAAACATGGATAGTCAGATAATTCATATCCTGGAATCAGAGCTGAAATCAAAGTTTCAATGCATCAGTGCCAGATGACCTGACTCCCCGGCTGCAGAAAATGCCACAAGTGGCTATAGGGAGTCAAGCCACAGACCTTACACATAGATCTGCAGATTTGATAAAATCTCAATACATTTTTAAAATGAATGCAAAAAGCTAATTTTACAAGTTCTTAGGGAAAAAGAAAGAGTCCAAAAATAACCAAAATATGCCTGAGAAAGAAGATGAAGCAACTTGACTGAGTTAAGATGGACATTTAATAGAAAATTAGGGCAATTAAGAGAATGTCTTAAGATAGATAAAAGGAGAAAATCAAGATAATCAACTAAAAATCTAACACTCATGAGCATATAGGAAAACAGCCTGTATTAAGTCAGGCATTGCCGATAAGTGAGGAAAAGATAGATTGGCCAATAAATGGTGACAGAACATTGAAAGTTGAAACTAGTTAAATATTTGAAGAAAGTAAAATTGAATCTTTATATCATTGTGTTCACAAAAATCAATTCTAAGTTGACTAAGGATTTACTTTTGAGAAGCAGATTTGTAAAAGTTTTCTAAGATGAGAAATTATGATACAGAATTATGAAAGGATTTATAAAGAAGCTATGAAAAGCACTAACAAAATATTGGTAAACTCATTCACATTAAAATTCATCAACAAGACCATGAGGAGAGTAAGAAGTTAAATCCAAGATTGAAAGAAAGTATTTTCATTTCATATTAGTCAACAAGACCTACGATCTAGAATTTGCCGATCATCCTCAGTGAACCAATGTGAAAAAAAAGCCAAACAATGAAAATAGACAAAATAGACAAAAGAAAATGTGAAGTCATTTTATAGAAAATAGATATGTATAACCTATGAATAAATGAAACATGCTCAGTTCTATTAGCATATTAATATTAATATTCAGGGAAAGGTAAATATCTATATTCAGATGTAATTTCATAGCCATGAAATTGACCAAAAAATGAAAGGCAAAGAAAAGAAAGAAATTCCAGATGTTGGTAAAGCTCTTGACAGTCATTCTTATCTACTGCTAATAAGAATGCTTGTAGGATGAAAGCTGACTGATTACAATAAGCTACATTTGGCAACATGCAATCTCATGAGAACCTCACACATTATAATGTAGGGTCTCAGTGCTTAAGAAACAGTTTGCATAATTAATAAAAAAAGTCTCCCAATTCCGTTCCACTAATTTCTCCTTGCTCCTTGTCCTGGTCATTTGAGGACAGTAGTCAAGTGGACTCTGGCTCACACAGATACACACACATTATATATCTGGAGACCCGCCTATCTGAATATGACACCTGTCACATTTTACAGTCCTGTGAATATTCAGAATAGGTCCCTGAGACAGTGGGAGCCTTAAACCCCCTCCTCTAGTCAAACCCTTTAGTTCACAACATTAAGAAAGTGATGCCCATGGAGTTTAAATGACTGTTAGGTTCATAAAATGTTCTAGAAGCAGGCCTAGAATTCAGCCTCCCAACTATCAATCCAACTTTTGTATAACACTCCATACTATCTGTGCTTCAGGAAGAAATGATAGGTAGCATTATGAAAGCAAGAAGAAAAAGGAAAGTTGAAACAACTATTGGCAAAGATGTGTCTTGGTAAGAAAAGAATAACTATGTTTAGTCAGTTTTTTGAAGGACAGGGAAGCAGAAAGAGTCCACTTAAATAACTAAATAACAAGGGTTGGAGCCTCGAAGAAGTTTTGTCTAGTTAAAAGGCTGCAGCATTTTATCAAAGCAACCTCATATCATTCCAAGGCCACATAATTCAGAACAAATCTCAACAAAGGATTCGTTTCCCAGATAATATGTCAGAGCCAAGGGGGAAAAGTAGTAAACAGAGTTTGCAATTTCCTAGACCATAAGCTTTGAAGTAAAATGGATGTTGATGTCTGTCAATGCTAGAATATTCCTATTACTTAAAAATAAAAGTATATCACTCCTTTTATATTGTTTAATTCCAAATGTAAGTAATTCAAACTTGCCTTAAAACCAACCACATAGACTTTTTTTCCTCCCTCCTTCCCTCCTATCTTTCTCCCTTTCCTTCCCCTTTCCTCCCCTCTCTCCTCCATAAAAAACAAAACAAATCAAAACAACCACATAGTTTTGGAAAAATTCACCCTGTAGAATATGCAATTATCTTAAGTGCCATAGATGAGATACAAATCTAAGCAGAGGAAATATTTTTTCCTATGTTCTTTTTCATGAAAGAACATGTATACTAGATAAAAATACAAAATAAATTGTTATATTTTACAATATATCCAAAGAGGATTATATTTATTCTAATTCTTTGCTATCTTATAGTCTTTATAATTAAGTTTTGTGCTATGCGATGTGAAATACCAGGCAGCACAGGGAAATGTCCTGCTGAACATTTAAAGGTTAGA